GTCCAGGTCTGGGCTCCCCAGTACAAAAGAGACATGGACATACTGAAGAGAACCCAGTGAAGGGCCACAAGGATCATTAAGAGTCTGGAGCATCTCTTCTACGAATAAAGGCTGAGAGAATGTTCAGCCTGGGGACGTGTAGGCTCCAGAGGCACCTCATCAATGTGTGTACATACCTGAGTGAGGGTGCAAAGAGGAGGGAGCCAGGCTCTTTCCAGCAGTGCCCAGTGACAGAACCAGAGGCAATGGGCACACACTGAAACACAAAAGTGTTTCCTCTCAGTGTCGGGAAACACTCACTGTGGAGGCAACTAAGCACTGGAATAGATTGCCCAGAAAGACCATGTATAGTCTTCATACTTGGGGATATTAAAAAGCCAACTGGACATATTCCTGGGCAACCAGCTCCAGGTGGCCCTGCTTGAGCAGGGGATTGGACCAGATGACCTCCAGAGATCCTGCCAGCCTCAGCCATCTCATGACTTCACACAGGAAGCAGCAGACAGACACTGTTTTCTTTTTCCTCACAGTTTACACAAGTACAGCAAGACCAAGAGAACAGGTCAAAGATTTTTCTACAGCCAAGGAGTCAAGTCAATCCCTGGGCCAACAGCATACAAGACAGAACAGCAGAAGGGACCTTGTGTGGCACTGCTGGTCCCTTGCTCCTGCCACATTCATTCTGTGGCCCAAGAAGCTCCCTGTTAATCCCACCTAGGTTGCCACTGCGTGCTGTGATGAACAGCATCAGCCACAAACCTGGCAGGGGCAGAAACTGGCCTCAGGCATTTTAGTCACCTGCACACCCGCACTGATGCTTGCACAAGCACAACAACTACCGGCACCCCTGACGCTCTTGTGACACAACCAAAACAACCTCTTAACACAGGTACTGCCAAAGAACACTAGATCCAGGACAGAAACTGCAGATAAAGCCTCTCAGGCAGCAGCTCCAGCGCCAGGTATTTATTGCTGAGCCCCACCTACCCAACAAAGCCAGGTGACACACACAAGACATGCTGATGCTTGCTGCACTTGCTCTACTAACCAACTGCAAACTTCACCCAACCTCTCTGTACCCTGAGGTGATCCTCCCCACACCCCCTCACCACCTCTGAGCTACCCAGCCCGCTCAGGTGGGGTCTGCGGAGGCACAGTTGGGCAGAAAGAGCTCCCTGCACTTTTAAAGAGCTGCTGTACAACAGCCAACAGTGCTGGGCACCCCCTTCCAGGGCAAAACAAGCACGCAAGAGCTTCAGGTGAGGCACGGTTCCTTCCCCATGTGTAGTTCTGGGACAGCATGGCAGGAAGTTACTTGTCTCCAAAAGTATACCTAAACAGCCTCAAGTGTTTGCATCCACTAAGGATCACACATTGCACTTCTCAGCATTAGTTTGTGCATGTTGATCAGCAACAGCAGTAACTGTTTCTCCTTCCCAAATAGTTCCTGTCTCTTGGAAAAAGGGTGACAGGGTCCATGTTCACATTGTGCTCATGTGCTGCTCAAGACCTGCTGTCATCACCTGTAAAGCTGAAGCCATGGGGACCACTTTGTTTCAGATATGAGCAGAATTGCACTGTGCTGAGCATGTTTGAATTGTGTTAAATATTTCCTGCAACACATCAATTGGGTTTATTCACAGAAAGATGCATTTTTCTTGGGCTCACCACATTTAGCTTCCATTAAGGGAGGTAACAAACCCTTTTCTCATGTGCATTATAAACACTAGGAAGCAAGTACCCCAGCAGAGGGTAACTTTCTTCTGCTTCCAGAGATCTCATGTGAGACAAACTATGTGCATCACTAAAAGCCAAAGAGAGTAATATTCAAAATAGACTTTTTCATGCCCTCCTCCTCCCATACGCTATTGTTTCAATGCTTTTAAAAGCATTACACAACACTCCTGTTTAAAAGCCAGGTCGATCCTTCCAACCTTTTAAGCTCATCTGTTCAAAATGCCAAGTTATGATACAAACCTTCCAGGTCAGATGTACCCAATGAGTAACATTTTCACAGACTTTTTTTTTTTTTTTTTTTTTCTTAACAGTATCTTTAGCTTCCAGAGTACAGGCCCTCTCAGGCTGGTTGCCTTTCCTTCTGCATCTGGCAGCAAGTGCCAGCACTTTATACACTCACAATAGGCTAAGAGGTCAGGTCTTTCCTCACATACAATGTTAATTTACCAGTGTGTTTGTTTTCTCAGTGTAGCAGTTACATCTGTTGCCTTCCTTATTCCTGGCAGTGCGTAACTCCCAGCCCACTGTAACATCACAACAGCACTCACACCATGCCCGTCACACCAGAGAGGCAGGATCAGCCCTCAGTCATTCATCTTCAAGGCAATGATAAAGCAAATATGAAGTAGGCGAGGTGGGGAAGGAAGGAAATTGCTCTACCTATACATTTATAGAGACAGAAACAGACATCCCAGCTCATTTTGGAGTTGTCATTCTGGAGACAGAACAGACCTGGAATGGGGCAAACAGATGCCAGAAGGAACTATTTCAAACAGACCAAGCACATCCCCTTCTTTCGCTGCTACACAGCCTTCTCAGAGGCTGCTGATGGTATGCAAACCTGAAACAAGCTCACAGGACAGAAGTGCTCAACAGCAGCACCAGGCTCTATAAATAAAGTAGCCAGCAAAGCCCTAACTCTTACTATAACACAGCCTCTGATTAAATTTGCATACTGGCAACAGCTTTTGGAGAGAAAAATCTAAATAGCAAGTCTAGTCAGAAGCTAAAATGCATTGGTAGCGAGCCACTCACACCTGTAATAGAGCTGACCACATCTACTTTTCACGAGGAAAAAAACTACCTAAGAAAGGTCAACAGATGCTCTTGAAGGTCTGACTGTTGAAAGATTTAAGCCCTTCAACTCATTAGCATTATGCCTCAGAATATCTGAATAAAATGAGCTGTTGCTTTCTGCCTGAACACTATTTAGGCTGGGGGTATCATCTTGTGTAAAAGGATTTGTAAGAGGTTTCTTTTAGAGAAGTTCTTACCATTTAATCCAGTTACGCTCTGTGTAACTGAGAATGACCCTCAGAAAGGGCTCAGGGTAATGGGAAGGTTGAATGTGGAATCAGGTCTCCTGGTACCACCTTGGCTTTTGCTGCTGCTGCTGCTGCTATGTCGTAGCCTCTTATGTTTTGCAGAAAATACTAAACACAAGTAACTTCAAGTTTTATAAACGTAAAACTTCATCCTAGTGGACAGATTCTCCCACTGACACAAGCTAAACAAGTTAGTTGCACTAAGTGACCCTGAAATGCCTTCTGCTCCTTAAGCACATTAATTCACTGTCAACTCAACTGCTTTACATTGTTAGTTTTTACCCTAAATGTGTCCAAGTGCAGTTGAAGCATTTTGATTGTTACTCTGGGCACATGGTAGATATTTCACAGACAATTAAAAATTTAGAAAGCAATGAATCTCTATTCTGAAGACTGATGTTCAGATTTCTTATTCCTGAGTTCAAGGAGAGTTTCAGGTCCGTGCAGTACAACAGAGCTGTCTATCACTGCACAGCAGATCGATGGTCGCTGTGCTGCACTTACCAGCAGCTCCAGACTCCATCCCAGCACGGGAACAGAGCACAGATTCTTCCCAGCGAGAGCACAGGGAGAGACACGATGAGTCACAGGAGCCAGGACTGGCAAGAGAGCGGCTGCAGCACAAACAAGTAGCTCAGATTTCATCAAACGGAAGGCAGTAAAGAGCCAAAAGGCTTTTTAATATTTACTACAATAATTTGCTATCAGAGGGGAGAGGGGGCACATCTGAATCTTTTCTGACTATATCTGCTAACACAACCAGGCATTCTTCTATCAGTTCAGGGATTACAGGAAAATCCAGAAATCACAACAATACCATCGATAATCTGCTTCCACTCAAACATTAACCAGGAACTACGACAACCACCGTTTCATTTGCATTAAGCCATCAGCTAAAGCCTACCCCCCAGGGGGAAAGCCCCACAAAAACACCATGTTTCTGCAAGTCATTTTCATAATCTGCCTATTAGAGATGAGACCTTAAAAACCCTGCTGCGAACTCACGACTCATTAATCCAAGCACCCATTTTATTAAACTTTTTTTCAACTGAGTGGCAGTGCCTTGACCCTCAGATTACTCTGTGGCTACAGCAAGTTCAGATGCATCAAATCTGAAAGGGAAACAGCTTAATTTATCTTAATGACTGTTTAGGTGCAGAGGCTAAAATTAGTAGACTTCAATTAAAACTTTTAAAACAAAGAATCTTTCCTTTAATATTCCCAGCAAGCGAACTACAAAGTACTGGTAAACAGTGTGCAAAATGTGAACTCAGCTAAAGCAAACGTACTTATTTCTCCAATACAGAATCTTCTACAAAGCAGAAGCTGACTGCAGAGCCTTACATGAGAGACACACAGGCTGCAGCTTTTATTCCATTGAATTTGGAAAGTTTATAGATGAAGAGCAGGTTTAATCTACCACAAACAAAAAGTACACAAAATAAGCACAGACTGCCCATACTAAATCACTATTTTAGGATCCAAAGAGTGCAGAAGCTCTGAGAAAAGTACCAAGTTACTCTCCAGTTTGATACCACAAGAAGTCGTGTCCCCAGTGGTGGTTTGAAAGGGCCAACAGCCAAGACCTATAGCACTGGAGCTGGGCTGCTCAGCACCCTGCTGACATGAAGGGATGGCCCTGCAGCCTCTTCCAGTGGCTCAACTGTCGCTGGTTCAACAAAAGCCAAAACTTTGCAAAACGTTTGGTCATCCTCGTTTTAAAATGTTACTTAAATGCGCAAGTGGATTCTAAGTGCATAACCACGTTTAGCTCTAAATTAGTCCTAAAACTCCTCCTGTATGCTTATGCTCCCCTTATTAATCCCTCCTGACAGTGAATAAACCTGCTGCTAACCTACTTGTCAATATAAAAACCAGCTGCCCTTTTTTTCTATCACCTTCAAAGGCCCACAGTTGAAGAAAATTAAACACATAGGCTTGAAGCTACACCATATATTTGTAAATAAAATAATTTGACAGAACAAGATTACAGAGTATGAAATGAGCCCTTTCAGGAATTTTTAACTACAAGAGAAGTCAATGTTAACTCCATTTTGTAAAGTTTTAAACAAGTATCACTGAGGAATAGAAGCATTACCATAAAACACCTTTTTTTAATGCTTTTTAAAAAACATCTAACCACATACATCAATTTCAGATGAAAAATTCCACACACACGCATTGGTTTGGTTACAGCTTCAGGGATCAGTGCAGCACAGTGCAAGTTTCATTCACAGATAAAAAGATATCTGAAGTAGGTACAAATACATTCTCGAAGTACAGGATGTGATCTAACTCTCAGCAACCCTTTTCTCACCCCTAAAAGGTGCTGAAAATAAGCACAAGGAAACAAAGGGGAAAGTAAACAAGGAGATGGACTCGTTAACAAGACAAGTTAATATTTGACAGCTTAAGAAAGAGGAAACAATTGCATCAAGAAGAAAATGACTGTTAGTCATTAGAAGGTATGTACAAGGGAAGTTTGTACTTTGATTCTGTAGAAAAACCGAAGCTGACAAGTCTCCACTCCTGAAGTAGAAATATTGAGAGGTACAAAAAGTAAGCACTATTAACTCAAAGTGCCTTCTCAGAATAGCCCATTTTTCCCTGCTGCAGGTCACCATTCCCCCATCTTTCAAGAAAAAAGTATGCAACTACACATTTCAGTTAGTCTTTCAATATATACAATCTAGCAATTTTACAGAATCTTCCTGGTCCCAAGTCTGCATCAGAAAGTGTTTTCCCCTTTGTGCATTTATTTCCAAGTAGAACAAATACTCTTCTGTGCTTTTATAAAAAGCCTTATTTTTAGAAATTGTCTAAGCTAGAAATATTAATGCAATTTTCACCTGAAGCAATGTCTTGCACACTATGAATGTAGAGTGCCTCTCTCAAGATGCTAAGTGCATCTTTAGCTACCAGAAATCTCATGGAGGGGTACAGCTTTGAAGTGCTCTGCTAATTTTTGTTAAAAAAATATATGACTGACACTTTCAGCGTACAGAATGGGAGACTAGTGCAACATGCAGCATTGATTGTTTATTCAATAAATATTTAACCCAATTATTGCCAACCAAGGCAAACAGTGCAGAAGTTGTCATTCAGAGATACAAAAGTTTAACATTTTTTGTATAAAGTCAGTTGCTACTATATTTATACAACTATTTCAAAGAGGTCTTTCTGCTTCAAAATTGATGCTATCAGTATAAAAATACAGAAACATACATTTGGGGGTTTAATGTGTCTTTGCAAGTCTAACATTTACAGTTATATGGAAACATGATGCTTTGGGACTCAAGAAATAAAAACGAATACTATGATAAGAGACATTTTCTGCACTGATGATTCCATTACAGTCCTTAAATACATCTTTCTTGGTCCTGGGTATACATTTAGAATAAAATAACTTGCAACTCACATTTATCCTGAGGTCAGCTGTGTAAAAAGGAAAGCCAGTTTAGAGGGATACTTGCAGGCTTTTTGTTGAAAACATGAGGTTATTTTTAAACAAGCCAATAAAATTCCTGGGGAGAAAAAAAAAGCCAAACAAACTTCTCACCAATGTTTTAAGAAAAAATTCTAGTGTCGTTTTTGGGAATTATTTCTAAAAATATATAGGCTATCACATCCAAATGCTGTATCACCCAACTAAAATTTCAGTATGCATTTGACAAATTTGAAACATAGAAACTGTTCTGAAAAGAAAATGTGTAAATCCCCACAAAGAGTCTCCCTAAGCTTCTCATCTCAAGATCCTGACCCACAGCACAGCTTCTGCAAGGAGAACCCTGCTGAAGCCTGTGGCAGAGTCTTCGGGTCTGCCTTCACAGGTGAGGACATGTGATTTGGGTCTCCATCACTCACCACGAGGTACAGTTATGACCTTATCAAAGCTCCACTTTGAACACAGCAGTTATTTTCAATAGCACCAACAATCTCTCAGATACCAGCATTAGGTGACATAAAATAAGTTTGTTTCTTCCTGAATCAGCACAATTGGTACAAGGCACTGCTTGGCATAGGAAGTCATAAGTAAGAGCAAAACAAGAGTTTCCAAGTTTCGTGACGTTTAGGTTTGTAAGTTACATCACCTTTCAACTTATTATATACCATGGCTAGAAAAACAACATAGTCTACAGGATTAACGATAACATCACCATCCCATGCATGTTCACAGTTTTCCTTCCCATATCCAAAAAACCTCCACATAACATATCAATATGAAACATTAGAAAGTATGGGTTGTTAAATTAAGAAAGTACATTTTATTCTCCGGTCTTCCACAAAAGCCTAACCTAGACAGAACTCAAGTATATGAAGTTGGAAAATATTCTGATAACATTTGCACCAGTCTATCCCTGCAGAGGAGAAAAAAACAACTATTGTCTAGAGAATTCATAGATTGAGGCACATCGCAATTGAAGATATTCAGGCATATTTTATGGCTAGAACAAGATTTTTCTGAGGAATCTCACTACAGACTTCCCCAAAAGCAGCTCCATATGGTTTGAAACAACTTGCAACACATGGAAAAAACATTTCGTCCTTAATCGCTACTGTCTTCGTCGTCATCATCATCAGATACATCGTTTAAAGATGACTTCGGTGACTGGCTGTAGGAGTCTGATCTAGCGGACTGACATGCAGTCATCTCCCCAGTAGAAAGAAGATCGTAGCAGAAGTCGCAGATTCTCACTGGCTTGGAAGACTGGCTCGGGAGAAGAAACCTCTTTTCAGAGCACGGCCCGCACACAACGAAGCCGCACTTGCGACAGTGATGACGACGGTTGACGGGTGTGAATTTTGCCTTCTGACAGCGCATGCACACCGTGGCTTCCGAGTCCGGTACCCAGACAGCTGCATGTTCATTGCTAGGAGTCTTCCCACTTTTGGAAAGCAAATCAGAAACGCACTTGTTTATGTGATTCATCCACTCAGACTTCTCTGTAGCAGTGGCAGCATAAACCGCAAAAGACTTTGTTGGTGTCTTGATAAGCCACCCGTTCCGTAAGTCTCCCTCATCCTGGATGGAATCAATAGTGACATTTTCCAGTGGGATTATGTGCTGCTTATTGTATTTCTTCTTCTGGATGACAATGTTACCATAAACAAGAATGTCGTTGAACAGAAAGAACTGCCTTGCTTTAGGCTTCTTCCTACACAGCTTTGTTAGCACTCCCTCTCCAATGAGAACACGACCAGGAATAGTCAGAGGTTGACCAGCTGCTCCAAAGCAGTTTTCCACTATACTTATTCTTCTAGTATTTGCCTCACTGTTTGCCAAGCGATCCACCATCTTTCACAAGTATCCTAAAATTAGAAAAAAGTTTGTTATTAGAACAGAATTGATTCAGCAGCAAGCAGCCTTCCCCAAGGAAGGTACCAACCCCGCATTTCTTAAAATACCTAAAAGCATCCACTGGCTCAGAGGTATCGACTTGGGCTAGATTTAAATAAGTATTAACACCTAAGAATTTTTAGCAACCAATTAAGTCTTTTTTCCAAAAGCAAAACTGTTCCATGCAGCTGACAGCTATCTTTATCACACAGACAGCACCTACGGCACTGCTTTTGAAAGCCTCTGGCAACAAACTACTTCCTCTCTAGTAAGGCTACTGCATCCTGGTTTAATGCTCGTATTTCTCTGCATATCCTCCTGGACCAACACTCTGGATGGCACCGGGAAGTATCATCCATCATTCCAAATTCTAATACTGCAGAAACATCAACTTAACTGAGCAGCCTGAAGACCCACATTAGTTTTAGCACAACAAACAAATTACATAATTAACGTTCACACAGGAAATCACACTCCCCAAGCTCAGTACTGCTCTTTTTTTCCAGTAGGTAAACCTCAAATCATGGGCCACACTCCTGAATCTACCTTCTGGAAACATTTTGTACAGGCCACAACTTGCACCCCCCCCCCCACCTGCTTTCACAGCAAACTCTGGAGCCAGGAGCAGGGAGTGAGTCATGCCTGGTGGCTCATCACCCACTTGCTGCCACCCTGTTTTTGCAAGAGCCCCACAGTGCCTCCCTCCTCACCTACTCAAACCACATCTGCATCTGTCATATTCAGGCAACACACACAGGCAGACCTACTCAGAGGACAAGCCATACAACTCTCAATGCTCTTGAAAAAAGACTAAGTGACCTGCACCAGATGAAAGTTTATTCATATTTCACAAAGTGCTAATGAACTGTAGAGTACATTATGTTTCAACTACGGATTAAAACCCCACCTTGTCATTCCTCAAATAGCAAATAAGATTTTCTCTTGTAAGGGTGAGATACCTAAGGCATCCACAAGTGAAAAAATAAGAAGTCACTATAGTGATTCATACCTTGGCAAACCACTCTTCAGCCTATCTTTTACCCTAGAGTTTCCCAGGCAGAAGTCTGCAGAGGAAACGCTTGCCAGTCTGACCCAGATCCGCTCCCCCCAAACTCCCTGTGATACAGCCAGGAACCTAAACTGTGTGCTTGATGGAGCAGCAAGACATATGGCAGAGGCGAGTACTATGGACAGACATTTGTCTCAGCACACAGAAGACACTCTCCAGTGCCTTCCACAGGGCTGATGCTCAAAACACCCTTTGCTACAAGCACCACTTTGGACAGGCCTGAAGGAGAGCTGAGCAGCAAATACTCCGGTCTCTACTTCCTGCTTATCACGACACAATCCCCGTTTGGGAAGTCCTCTACATTACCTACCTTTTCTTTTAGATCTACATTGCCTGACATTAATACAGTATCAGCCTACAACAGAGAGGAAAATGGGCTGAAACAAGGCTCAGACTTGATGCTGCTCAAATTCCCTCACTCTGCCATAAGCTGATCCAGTCAACCTTCTTCCTATGAATCAAAGCACAGATACTTCCTTACAAAATAGGGAGGAAACCTCTCATCAGGCCTCATCTAAATAAGTATGTTACTGTGATTACACAAATCCACATGCCCAATGTTAAGTATGGTTATCATAAGTTATTACATTGAAAGTTTAATTAGTTTCACACTAAAATTTTGACAAATGAGCTTGCACAGATATAACTACCTTTTTTGAGCCCTGCACACAACATCATCTTGTACCAAAGTCTGACACTGAAGACAGAAGAATCTCTAAAAGTTATTTTTCAGCACTATTTTTGAATTTTCTTTACATGCCTTACAGCTTTAGTTACTGTATGTGAATACTGTGTAAACTAGTTTTATGGTTAGGGGAATTACAAAGCTACCAAATCCAAAAGTATTTTGATCTGCAGAAGGTGAAGACAAAACAAAAACTGCAAGGCAAAAGATAAACTACGAGCCTTTTCATGTGTACTTGTTGTAATCCTAGTTTTCAATATCAAATTCAGGTGTCTGACTGCTGAAGCCCAGGACTTGGAATGAGAGTTAATTGCCATTAACTGTCAGGTAAACACTCCCATATAACAACATACCAGCAATAAACAGTCTTTGCAAGTGTCAAAGCTGAACCAACAGCCCTTCAAACTTAGAAACCAAGGAGTCAGTCACAGGGTCAGTCTGAAGTTATTTAGTAATCCCATGCTCCCTGTAAAGCACAGAAGGACATCAGTCATCAGAGTGCAAAGAGGACAGACCAAAAGAATACACTTTCTGCAGGTACAAATCAATATACACTACTTCTAAACGTACACTTTTATACAAGTTATCTACAAATTACAGCAAGTTAAATGCTTTTTGTAGTCCACAAGGGGAACACCACCCCATCCCCCAAAAGAAAACCACAAACATAGCCCCACTGATGAGTTTCAGCAAAGTGAGCTCTTAGTATGAAATTACAGAGACCTGTAGGAAGCAGTTGCTGCTCCACAGCTCTAACTCAGCCATTCTGCACTCCCTGCCAATAATCTGCAAACTCAGTCCAAGGTCACCATGAAAGCTTTCAAAATACAAGTCACTGCGAGAAGAAAACAGGGGAGAAAAAGCTAAAGGTTTTAATTAACTGTTCCCTAGGAGGAATTAAGAGAAAACAACTCTAACCAGGATCGTTTAATAATCATCATGGCATGAAATCAAGATGCATGACTCCAGAACTTGTGCTGAAGGCTGTACTTTGAGCTTGTTGTGAAAACAATCACTTGCTGGACTTAAAGCAAGAATCCGGGGCAAGTTAAGGACTATTAAGGAAGACAAGATAATCGCATGTCTTCCAAATTGAAACTTTTTGCTATAATGTTTAACATTGTCAGCAGCCAGCCTCAATTAAGGCAGTAAATGCCACAGACTGCTGATGGATGCTGATTCCACTCTTCCAGTGCATGAATTGTATTTTCCCACACTAACAGATTAGATCTTTCAAAATAAGCACTCTGCCTTTTTTCTCATAAGTCTTTAAAGAATGAAAAATTAAAAATGCATTTGAAATCCTATGCACGCTAATGTTCATTCATCTTCACTAGCCTTTTTGAGAAAGGAAGTTCAGAAAGGGATACAAAACCACCCAAAATGCATCATGATTACAAGTAAGAATGAAACACAGAAAAAACAGACCAGAAATACAAAAGAGAAGCCATCCCTAAGCCACAAAAGCTAAAGTTATGAGAAATACACCTCTTCCTCTCAAGAGCACACTGATCAAAAAGATACTAAATTAAAATTGTCTGGATACACAAAGAACTTTTAATCCCAAAATGTCACAGTCCAAAAGCAAAATTAATTATTAGCAGTATTTAAAAACTACACTAATCTTGTCTTAAAGCATATTTAAGATATATTGTAAGAGATAACAGATCATACCCTGGAACTGGGTGGCAATACCCTCCTCTCTTCCAACTAAGATTTTCTTCTGAAGCTGTTGGCCACCATAAGAAGCAAATACTGGATTACTGTCTCCAAGATGCAGGATCTCAAGACCTGATCAAACAAAGCAATTCCTGAGTGACAGCAAATTGCTGAAAACATGACCCAATCCTTCCCCAAGCAGTGAAGAATAAACCAGAACCACGAGCTTCGAAATAAAGTTAGACAACTCCACTTAAGGGAACAGCATCTTACACACAGTCTCAGTTATAGGCTATATAGTCAAAACCCTCAAACCTACTGTTCAGATCTTTATCACATTTGACTCCAGTTTCACACGTCTGGCACATGAACTCTCAAAGGTCCCCAGGCCCTTATGCAAGGGCAACTTCCATTTGTGATGGACTGATAGTCTTCACAGACATCAGATTCAGTTTTTGGGTCCAGACTGCAATGTAGTACTAGCTTCTAGACAAAACATTGAAAAAACCAACCAAACAAACAAAAAAAAGTAGATCACTTTGTAAGAAAAATTAGCTACACAGAGCTGTATCATAAGCAGGGGTTAACAGCCTTTCTAGATAAATAAATGTCAACTCTCAAAATGCTGCAATACCTTCAGTTTTCCCTTCTCCTCACACTCACACACACTCTCAGAAAGTATATTTCATGATGAAAATGCTGGGCAAAGGCTTTCATCTCCACAGATGCTATTCAAAGGTGACAAAATATTTCATGACACAGAAAACCCCAACTCCTCTACAACATATAGAACTGTGTTTTACACTAAGTTATTACCAGTTTTATTCAAAAGAAGCTTCTACAGAAACAACAGTTCTGTTACCAAGATATCAAGATCGTCTTGCTCCCATTTCACTCCAGTTCTACACTTGTATCTTGTTGGTGAGAACAGTCACCTTCAAGGCAAGCAAATAGATACCACTGAAACCTCTGAAAAACTAACACGTCACCAACTTACCTAAAACAGAATCCATGTTGAGGAAATCACATATTTACTACAGTTATTAACATTCTATACTGCTGCAGCAGGAAAATAATTAGAGTTGCTGTGCACTGACAAGTCACGTTCCACATAATTGTTTCTTTCTGCTACTGTATCCTGGTGACAACACCAGGATGATGATCTCCCAGGACTCAATGCTTTTACAGGTCTTATTTAAAATAGGAGAATGTTTATTTTATATGCTAGCTCTGCTCTTGATAGAGGCCAGACTAAACTACACAGAAGAACAGCTGCAGTTGAAGACAGAGATATGGAGGCAAATAAAAAAATAACACGAACCTGACTGACAGTTCCATCTAACTCAAAACTGACAGAAAACTTTTCTTCCACTACTACTTTAGCACTGTAGCAGCTGGCATTAGCACCACACAGCAGAAGCATAAATAACACAGGCAGTGGAGGGCAGAAATGAGATTAAAAAAGCGATTATGGCATAGTGATGCAGACTGCATACAAGCTCAGCACCATTTCCCCACCCCAGCTCAGGGCATACTACCATGATGACCAGCACTCCCTTCAGGTTGCAGGACAGGCACAAAGGGTATGCAGGAGAAGGACACCACCCAAATTCCCAAGTTTTTTCAGCAATAGAGCAGAACTAGCAGTGTTCCATTACTTCTGGCTTGGGCAAGAACAAGTCTAGTCTAGTGGACAGTCCCTGCTAAAAGACATTAATTAATAAGCCACTAATTTTTAGCATTATTTTTCTTCAACACTCCTTCCTTCAAGGGAAAAGAATGTTGCTGGTCTTGCTATAATTGCCAGTTCATCTATCACCATCTTTACAATCAGCAGTCAGGCTGTAACAATTACATTTAACACACTGCATTAATACAAATCAGGCAGTCTAGATTTCTCAGAGCCACGGTATCAGGATGCAGGCAGCTTGTCCATTACTAAGAATATTCAGAGCTAAGGTGAAAGCTTTAAAGAAAAAAGAGTGTATTTAAGCTGCTGGAAAAAGTACAAGAGCTCAAAACTAAATCACAAAGAGGCCCATCAAGTCCTAAAGCTGCAGCAGATTCTGGATGTTTCAGAGCCAGGTTTACCAACACAAGTTCCACAGAAAAGTGTCACTAACAACAGTATCTGACCACACCATCAGAATGGATGAAACGATATCTAGCTACTGGTGCACTGAAGCAAATGTAGAGAATAGAAAAGAAAGGCATAAAAAATGGAGGAATATAAAAAGAAATAAAGGAAGAAAAGGTAGAAACAGCAAATCTAAATGAGAACATATTATACCTTGCCACCCAATAAACTTCTAAATAATTATCCAGTTGTCATACAGAGCCCTTGTTCTCATACTTCCATCTGCACGCAGAGACAATGTCACTATGTTACACCACACACATACAAATTAAGCCATTTTCCTTCTTGCCTAAAGATAACATACATGCTTCATAGAAGTTTCTGGTTAGAGTCACTTAACAGAAGGCAAAAATTAAAGGTTTTATTATGTTTTGACTCTGCAACTTGAGGGCTCTGAATAAAACAAATTTCAAACAGAAATGCATTTTGCTTTATTATACTTAATCACACAAGTTAAACATACGTGAAAGGTACGGAAGATCAAAAAACCCCAAACTTTTACAAGACAAAACAAGTAAATTGTAAACCAAAGATAGACAAAACTATCTGCAGGTCAGGTATCTAATATGCATTAACTGACTAGGTTGTAAGATGACTCATTTTTTGGATCTCCAGAGGAAAATATCACACTCTCCCTAAAAAGAGTTCATCAGACAGAATCAGTCACTGGTAGTTAGGTGGGAGTTTTTTTGTAATAGGTTTCAAATAATTGTTATAAATTATATTATCACAACAGACTCATACAGCTTTTGTCTCACACTTTGTCTATGCAAGAAAGACACTCTAATTTGAGTTAGAGTTGCATAAACACAATTAAGTTACCCAGAACCATTGTACATCCCTCATTTAAAGCTCTGTCAGAAATGGTAGTATCACTATTTTTGCAGACAAACTTCCAGCTACGAAGGCATCTCAGTACTGTAACGCATTATGTTAATCTCTATAAATATTAGATGTATTGCTCTTAAGAGTAACACTTGTCTTTTTGCACCACTGCCAAGGAATACAGTAAATTTCCGAAGTGCAACCTGTTTAAGGATTAAATTTATCCACATCTAATGCTTTGAAAACAGTGTTAGTGTGAAAAATTGCTAAACTCATGCACTCATGAACTCAACTCATGCACAGCAGATACTCTAAGTTTCTGATACAAGTCAGAAGAGAAATTAGCATAAAGTTTAAATCTTATTTTGGCCTCACTACGTACACCTCCTACACACCTTCCTTCAGTATATACAGAGAAGGATGATACCATTGCTTGTCCTGGTTGGCAAAATTACACTTTCTCTGCACTTTGATTAGCTGTAATCAGAATCAAAGCATTCATGCACAAGTCACCTTTTGGTCCTTGCTGCTTTGTATTATACAGTCAAAAGACAAATCTGTGCATCAAGTGAAATTAAAAAAATTTCACCCTCAAAAATATTGAGAGGACATAAAAACATGACAAGTGTTTTCTAAGGGTCCTTACCACTGCTAAAAGCTGACATGACAGTAACAACTAAACACCTGTCTGTGCTGGAGCTAGCTGTCCTGGATGCTATTTAAAACATAAGACAACTACTGTCACTTACAGAGAAATACAGCCTTCTAACAACCAGTTCTCTGGTGCTTCTCTTCACAAAAATGTTCCCAAAATTGTAGTATTTAACAAACTGTCTTGGCATTACAATCATAACCAGCTGGTAAGGATACAGAGGATAACCCTGATAATATCTGGAAGATGTAAGTATAAAGAATGACAAAAAGTTTCATCATAATCCTGAAAAGAAAGAAGAAAAGCCAACAGATTAAAGAGATTATATCAAGGTAGCAGGAAATGAGGCATAAGGTCCCTCTGAACTTCAGCACAGCCTTTATCCATATGATCACTTTTGACTAACTTAGTTAATGGTTGCAGCATTCAGAAAGGACTGACAGTGGTACAGAAATTTTGACCTGATTTACAGACACAAAAAAATTTACCTTTTCCTTAAGGCTACATAACATGTTGATTCCTTGCACTGTTCTTCACACTCTTAGTAATCATTGGCATTGAATAAAGTCAAAAACACTGCAAGATAGGACACTGGAAAAGACGATGGCAATACCAGGACTGTTTTGGATTACTCTATGGATGCAAAGCTGCTTGCAACATTTTCATCCTAACACTATAAAGAAACAGTGTAAGCATCAGTCAGCAGAACACCAGCAGGAAAGTGGAAGAGATGATACTGTGGATCTCTCACAAGTCTCATTTTTATGATTCTAAGTGTAGTGTTTTCTACATGAATGCAATTTTTTATTCTTCCCTACAGTGAAGACACGGCTTCCTGCATTGTGCAAGCCTGTGGAGCAATGGCTGCAGTGTGGGGAAACACAGATCAGCTCACTCCCTTACTGGTATATCCAGTACCAACCATCAGTCTTAACCCTTCATTCATCTCAGCCTGTTAGCTAATGTTCTGGCATCAACCACAGACCTGCAGAAACCACGCTGGAAATGTGTTAACAGCAACCATGTTACTTCATACTGTGCAACCTGTGAATACTCTGCCTTGCCAATATATGTGAAATATTTCGATTATTTCTCAGTCCATTTATTCACATCCAAATACATCATGAAATCAAATCCATGCATTTGTCTAGTTGGATGTCTTCATAAACCTATAATTACTATAACAAAACAGACAGATCTGTTTGGGTTTTTAACTGCTGCAAATGACTGTCACAAGTCAAATCCCACTAAAACTCTTCTTGAAAGTACAATGTAGAAATTCCTGTTTTAAATCCCTGACATCTTACAGTTTAGTAATTCTTTTCATACATTACAGTTAAATTTTTCTATATTCTAATTTCCAACTTAAAAGCAAG